TGATACATTAACAAATTGAATGGCCGTATAGGTCACCGTGTGATCTGCGTTGGATTTTACATTAAGATGGTTGTATTTATTTTACGTAAAATGAAACATGATCATGGAAATGCTTCATAATATCAGTTGATGCATAGTTGTCGTAGGTATATAATATCATTTTCATATCGTGGATCATTAATAGGTCACGCAACATGGTTCTGCATTTTTAAATCATAAGGGGAATGTATTATTATCGTTTTAAATTATCAATTGTATCTCTTTAACTCTAATTATTACTTCTTATTGCTATACAGTGAGAGTCGTATAATTCTCTCACACAATATATAAATAATAAATAATACGAGTACAAAAAGTATATATTATATATCAATTATTCGTCCAATAATATGTATACATAATTTTGTGATAAATAAAATATAAAATAAAGATTTATATTGTTTCGTACCGGTACATTTGGGATTCACATTCTTGGCAATCCGTTCGACTTTTTCTCAAGGATCATTTATTATAGTATAGAATATATATATATACATTACTCTTGAAAAATTCATTGGATGTACGCTAAAGGATAAAGAAACATTTTTTACACACTAATAACGATTTTATGTTCCGCGCTTATAGTCTATTTTATATAATATCATACCTTTATCTTTTCATTAATCTTTTTTTTTTCGGTTTTAGAAATATCATAACTAAATTTAACGTTTCATAAATCTATCCGTGACCCACGTGGCTTGAACGAAAACCTACACGAATAAATAACTTGGAATTTAACGGGTGTTTATTTAGATGTTATTTTGTATTTTTTTTTCCTTTTTTTACGAATAGCCTTTGTCTCTTTCGTTCTCAATCTCTTAGTTGAATATCAGATAAACGTTTCAGCGCCTTTGCGAAGCTGAATAATACATGAGCTTTATTAAGCGGTTGCACCTTGTATATCTTTGCATATTTCTTCAAAGAACATCGGGGGAAGTGGTTCGCAGCCAATCTCAGAGGTTAAGGAAGGTGAGATCCCTGATAACTCATCCTTGAGGAAGATACTGCAAAGTTCATCGAATCGCAAACGACGTATCCTCTTTCTCTTTCTTTCTCTCTCTCTCTTTTTTTTTAAAGAGAAAAGAAAAGGAAAAAAGAGGAATATATATATCTCTTTCTATATATATATATATATCCATAGAAAGAGAGAGAGAGAGAGAGAGAGAGAGAGAGAGAGAGAAGATAAATTTAAGCACAACATTAGAAAGCTGGCTATGAAAAAAAAATCAATGAGAATGTGGAAGCCAAAGGAACTATTAGAAATCGCCTTTGGTTTGTGTAAAAGGGCAGGTTCTACCTCTAAAGGATTTTCGTTATTCCAATAAGGATAATTTCACGAGGAAGAGAAAGACGAAAGATCTTTAACCAGTAGACAATGAAGGAACCGCAAATCCCTCGGGTATCCCTTACCGTTCTTCCCCCTTAAGGTAGGATCTCTTACCCTTTTATCCTTATATCTTCCCTTTTCTTACTACGGCCATTTTCCGTGTCCTCTTTTTCTCTCTATTCCATGATTCGAAGCCATTAACCAACCGGTGATGTTATTTCTCGAAAGGAATAATTCCAAGTTTTAGGGAAAATCGAGCGTATGCAACTAAATCGTTAATTCATTTCGAGTTTCGAGTTAAGCGTTTCTCATTTCGTCATTCGATTACTTCGTAATTTTCTACGTTCAACCATCCAGAAACCAACGAGCGGATGTCTTCTCTTCTTCTTTTAATAATTTTCTCTTCGGTGGATTCAGAGAAATTGCTTCATCGTCTGGTCACATCTTTCTATGATGATGTTGAAAATATAAATGTTTAGCGAACCGAATAACGACAGAAAATCTATAGAATAATGTAAATGTTCTTTGCTTTCGAGCAATTGCAAACGTATTTTTAAGAAATATATTATATGGCAACGATTATGGATCTAAAAGAACGAAAATTTTAATTTTCTTTTTACGTTTTAAACTCGCCAATATTGTTTCACCAAAGATAAAGTCTTGTCTCTTTTTCTCTCTCTCTCTCTCTCTCTCTCTCTCTTCGAGAACGCATCTTTCCGAAAATGATTGGATTTTAATGTTACATTAAAAAATCTTTTCGTAGCTGTTCTATCTGTTCTTTTTTTTTCTTTATATTTATTATTTTTTTTTTTTTTATATAAAGGTTTGTAGATAAGAACGAACGGTGAAAGATAAAAGTAAAGGAGAGAAAAATCTACTAAATTTTCTTTTTCTTTTTTCATTTACGTCACAAGAAAGAAGAAATACGAACTTGGTGTAAGAATTTTGAAAGTTTTTTAAAATTTTTCGAAGTTTTTGTAATTCTAGCTTGCACCGAGGATATTTGAATCATCTACGAGTTGCAGAAGATATTCTCATGTAAATAAAGTATGTTTATGTTGACACACTGATCTACATAATTTTCTTGAAGAGGCATTGACCTACATAAATCTCGGGAGTTACATGCTCGCCTGGTTGCCTGACGTAGAACCTTTTTTTTTCTCGTTATAGCCACTTACATGTTGAAGTACTTACATATGAATAATACATTTTTCATATTTCCAAGGGGTTATTTTCCCATTCGAATCTCGTGAAAATTCGAAACTAAATCTCCCCCTTTTTTTAGAACGAACAAATTACCTAGTCCTTATTTACATACTTTTGATATTTATATAATTGATATATAATAACAAGAACAATTTCATTCTATCAATTCATATAATTTTTTTTTATATAAATCTTTATCAATTTTATTTTCTTATAAAATTATTTATCTCCATAAAATTATACGATATTTCGTAATATCTATTTATAACAATGTAATTCTCCAATTTGAATTTATCCTCGATACACGCACGAACATTCTTAAAACACAATTATGTGTGTGTGTGTGTATATCCGTATAAAACACTGAAAGGTAAGTTAAGTAACGTAAGGTAAGTTTAAAAGAAAGTTTAAGTTTATCGAAGGAAATTCTCTGTATGTTATTAATTGCCGTTAGTATATGTATATTAGATCTGTAAATTATTATCACAAGAGAGGAAGGAAGACAAAGAGAAAGAGAGGGAGAGAGAGAGAGAGAGAGAGAGAGAGAGAGAATGTGTGTGTCAGAAACACTCTTTACTTTCGCTCGAGGGTTTATCGAGTGGCTGTCGACCCGGTAACATCCGAAGCGCGATTGTAAACCACCCGTTCTCCTATATCATAGTATATAACCTATTCTCGTTACGTATAAGTACTCGATAGCCTTGAGAACGTTCGCTAGGCTCGTATCTTTGCCGCCTTTATTACTTATTTAACACATATGAATAAAGATTTATTAACGCGACGTTGAAAAAAAAAAAAAAAATCTAATTGGAAAAGCTCTGCATACTATTCAATACGAAATTCCTTTCGCAGTGGAGTTGCTTTCTCTATATAAATGTTAGTGCCATTTTTTCTATCTTATAGCCACTATGATAAATGAATAATTATACACCAGGAATGTTTGCGTGTTTGTATCCGAGATATATCATAATTGTGATCACGTTATCAGAGAATAATATTTTTCTATTATTAATATTTATTATTATTAATTCTATTTTATTAATGTAATTATAATTACTATTATTAATTCTGATTATTATTTCTGATGGATCGTTATTTTTTTTAATTTTTGTCAGATTAATATCTCTTTAATGTATTAATATTTTCGACAGATTATTATTACATTAACGGATTACTGTTTCCTACAAGTTACTATTTTCTGACGAATTAATGTCTCCGAAAGATTATTATTTCTGTCGGATTACTATTTTTGAAATATTGTTATTATCCTGATAGTGATCTACGATGATGATTATGTTTATCATTATTACGAAATATAGTAATAAAATATTAAATCAAATGAACTTTAGAAATGTATTTAACAGGAATAAATGATGGAATGAGTGAATTACAAAATTAAACGTTTGTAAGTTTAAAAGGATGATACACGTATATATATAGATATAATATGGATCTAAATGGTCCCTTTCCTTTTGATCGAAGAGAAATTTGTCGATATGTAAATGATACATGATTTCTCTACTTTTCTCTTCTTCCTTTACCCTCCCGCCACTTCAATCTATCTGTCTCTTGTTACCACGGTGATCATAAACCACCATTGTTGAAGCAGTCGACACGTTACGTACATTTACCCACTATGGAAGCTTCACGGTCGAGTGGGTGCGACGACGATTACAAGGCGAGAAACCACAACGGTTTTCAACTGCAGTCGTTTCTCTTTGTTATTACGAAAACCACGGGTGACGTAAACGTGCCGGATTTGCCAGAACTCTCGTACACGCATAGAGGATACGCATACACAAACAATTAAACCCCCTACTTCCTCTCGTTGTTTTTTCTTGTCAAAAACAAAGAACGTTTGATTTACGTTAGCAAATCTCTCCCCTCGATTCTATTTCCCTTCCCTTTGTACCTCCCCCTTCCTTCCTTCCTTTCTTCCTCCCATCCTCCTTCTTTCTTTATCTACTCCACACCCGCTTTACTCTTACTCGTCTCTTTTTTTTTCAAGCTTTTATTCAACTAAAATATTTAACCTTCTGTTTTACGAAGTTACATGCTATCGTGATAACACTAGTTTTACTCTTATGATAAATTTCAAACACTCGTGAATCATTTCTTTATTTTTAATAAAACAAATTGAAATTGAAAATAGTTTTATTTTATAATTGCTTTCGATTTATACACGTGCGATATTTAAATATACATATGTACTCGTACAAATATGGATGAGATATCCAAGATATAAGAAAAACGTTAATGTACTAAAAAAATAAATCATATCGCAAGGGAATTAAGAATATCCTAAGAAGATACGAATTGCGATAAATTGTTACTAGAAGAAAATCAGGATAGAAAAAAGGAAGAAAAGAAAAAAAAATAAAGAAAAGAAGAAAATCGTAACAAAGGATGAGTTAGCGATGAGACTTACCGGTAGGTGGTACGAAGGCAAAGAGGACCTTCCAGAAGATAGTGATAGAGTGCATGAGATAATCGGCTGGTGTTGGAGATGAGGACTCTCCTCCTCCTCCACTTCCTCCTCCTTCCGCATCGTCCTCTTCGTCGCCACCACTGACAGTTAATGCTTCCGTAAACTGTTCCTTCCAGGAGCTCGTCCCTGTAAGTCATATTTCAGGATTTCTACGAGTATCTTTTCCGGACGACTACATATGTACGTAAGCTTACGTACTCCTCGACAGTAGCCGAGTAAAAGCCACTGGTAAAACCACCCCTTGGGATAGAGCCTGAATTACGACCACGATGCGACAGGGTATCAAGGGCTTCGAAAATGTCTTTTTAACGCGAGAATTCGACTCAACTATTCTTTTCGAGAGCGATCGAGAAATCGAGAAATAGGGAGAATGAAAGAGAGAGAGAGAGAGAGAGATTGAGAGAGAAAGAGAGATAGATAAATAGGTAGATAGATAGATAGAGAGAGAGAGATAAACGGATAAGTAGATAGGTAGATAGATACAGAGAGAGAGAGATAAACGGATAAGTAGATAGGTAGATAGATAGAAAGAAAAAGATTGAGAAAGAGAGAGAGGTAGATAGATAGAAAAATAAAGATTGAGAGAGAGAGAGAGAGAGAGAGAGAAGTAGATAGATAGACAGATAGGTAGATAAATAAAAAGAGAGAGCTAGAGAAAGAGAGAGCCAAAGTTTGGTCAATTTTCTAACCCTGCTAGGATACACCAATCCATTTTTTCTCCCCCCTCTTCAGTATCTCGTATCTGAAGAGGGCCTCGCTGTTAAGAGTTACGTGAAATCGAACTATTCAAGAAGCGATAGATACGTCTACGTATCCTGGGAGATACGTTCGAAGATACCGCATTGCAATGCATTTCCAGATTATTTGCATATCGTTCTATAAACCAGTCGTAGTATAGCCTCGAGAATTCAAGATTTTCAAAAATGTTAAGGGATTCAGGGACTAATCTTGTCTCTTTAGTAAATGATCAATGTTTCCATTTTCATCTTTGTTCTAATATATAAAGCCTGTTTCTTGAATAACATGAGTTAATAATAAAGTTGTTCTTCCTTTGTTCCCTTTCTCTTTCTCTCTTTTTCTTTCTCTATTTCTGGTTCTTTATCATGTTCATATTTTTCTCAATTGAAAAATCCTTTCATTCTCGTAGTTTCGTTGAATCATTTTAGTCTATAAATATTAAAGGATAGAAAAAAAAGAAAAAAAAGAGAAAGAGGTTGTAACGCTTGGCGAAAGGAAAGTGGCCAATATTTGGTTTATCGGAGCTTTTACTCGACATTCTGCGTTGAGAAAAAATATAATTTGTTTGCCAAAAGGGAGAAATGTAAAAGAGGAAAAAAGAAAAATTGAAACTGGTGAATGAGTAACGAGTTGCATAAACTCTTAGTAATGGGATTCTAACGCACTTTCTCTCTCTCTCTCTCTCTCTCTCTTTCTCTCTCAAATAAGAGACAAATGGAGAGAGAGAGAGAGAGAGAGAGATTGAATGTGTACAAATACAGGCTAAAGCGTATAAATTATGTGTTGGTTTGTTGTTTGATGAAAGCTTTCTACTTCGAATAATGACTCCACGTTCAACTCAAAAAAAAAAAAAAAAAAAAAAAAAGAAAAATTATTTTCACGACGCTTACTCCACACCTTTAGGGCCTTTAACAGGTTCTCGTAGTTTTAATTGTCTCGTTAAAAGAATGGCCATTGCTACCATTTAAGCCCGTCACTTTGTTGTAGAGAAGGGGAAAAAAAAAGAAAAAAGAAAAAAAAAGAAAAGGAAACAGAAAGAAAACATTTAAAGTATAATGAGAAGTATAACGCGTATGGTCTTTAAATGAATAAAGGATTCGTAAGGGAAACAATAGTGTATTATATCGATATACTCGTATATACTCTTATTCGATAAACGAAACGTACGGAAAACTATTTCATGGAGCACCAGTAAATCCCTAATGCCATGAAAAGAAAAGGAGACCTCTCAAGGCCATTCTTGATAATCGACGTCGCTTTGCGGAAGACTCGCTATCGAATTGCCTTATTATACTGGTGTGTCTTTTGTTCGTCGATTCTAGTTTCGACCCATTCTCTCTCTCTCTCTCTCTCTCTCTCTCTCTCTCTCTCTCTCTCTTTCTCTTTCTCTTTCTCTTTCTCTTTCTCTTTCTCTTTCTTTTTCTCTTTCTTTTTCTCTTTCTTTTTCCCTTTCTCTCTACCTTAACCACCCTCACTCTTTGTGAAAGCAATCATTTCAGCTGCTCTCCTTCCTTCCTTCCTACCTATCTACCTACCTACCTACCTACCTATCTTCCTTCTTTCCACTTGAAAGCGTTTGACTTTTGGTCGTCCGATTAAAAAGTTCACGAGAGTGTTCAAATTATTCGAATTTTGCATTATTTCACAAGTCGCTATATGTCCTTTAGTAAACGATATTAACACGTTCCAAATTAAAATTTCATCAATTTTTTTTTTTTTAAATTAATATTTCGAATCGCGACAAAAAGATTTCGATGATCAATTTTAAAACGTTACATATTCAATTCGTTTAAAAATCATTGAATCATCTCGAAATGTAATTTCACGCAATGTCAAATAAATAATATATAAGTAATGTATATTGAATGCAATCGATTTATTTATTTACAACTCGTGAAAAGAAAAAAAAATATTAACTTCTATATTATTTTGCATTCATAATATTTTAATAATAAGTAATAATTATTATAGTTGTCGTGATAATAAACATGATACTACGCACAATGCTGGTTCGTTTAAAAGACATAAAATGCACTAACGCGATTCAAACTGAAAACATATATCCACGAAGAAATACAAAGAGCCATTATTCTGAAAACATGTAACATAACGAAAACATTTCTCAATGCAGAAGAGTGAGATTAAACTTGGCAGGGATGAGATTAAACATCGTCTGATCGGTTCAACGACCCAAGAAACAGAAGACTAAAAAACGAAAAAATGAAAAAAGTAATAATAATGAAAACAAAATAAATAAATAAATAAATAAATAAATAAATAATAATAATAATAATAATAATAATAATTTTTAATTAAATTTGTTTTTCTCATAAGTTTCTAAACAGCGAAGGATAATAAAGTTTCAACAACGACAGTCATCATCATCAACATGATGGCTTTAAAGGATTAATGACTCTTGTGAACTGTAATTTCTAGAACGATGATGAATCATTTCCTTTTTCTAAGTACTTACTTACTGTTCAAACTACTTGTTCATTTAAAACTTTCGTTTTTTCTCTCTCTTTTTTTCTTCTATTTTTTCCTTTCTCTTTTTTTTTATTTTTTTTACAGAAATCACGTAGAGTCACGTAAGTTATCGTCGATAGAATTACCTTAGAAGTTTAATATCTGCTTCCTGAATACATCAACCATTTTATCACGAAAAGTTCAATGAATTATTAAATACTTTACGTGTACTTCAACATTTAGAAGAAACATGAAATTTCGTTGATTCAATTTGCCCCGATTAAATAAACTCGTCTTCATGCTCTTCAATAAACATTCGAAATTTCTCTATCCTTTAAGATCATAACTATAAAAGAAATGATATCAGTTACGAGCTACGAAGTTTCACTACTTCAAGTATATAAGAGTATATATATGTTACAATATACGACGTTATGTTTTTGGCATAAATCCAAAGAAAAAAAAAAAGAGGAAAAGAAAAAGAAAAAGAAAATAAATTGACAATTGGAAAGTATTCAATTGCATTTAGAAAAAGAAAGAAAATGTATGACTTACCGAGCAATATCGAAGCGTTCGCCCTCTGAACGAGTTTATCTACGGTATTTTTGAACTCCTTTGATTCTTTAATTCTTATTTGCGCTTTAGACACTTCACCCAGTTTTGGTTTACCCAGGAGTGCCATTTTTTCTTCTTCCGTTCTTTCTTCGGGTTGTTTCAATTCCGCGGCTACGGCGATTCCTGCTTCGGCTAAAATCAAAAAATCACGTATCGCTGCTTCAATAGAGTTGAAAACTGTACATCCATTGTTCTTTTTAAATGACTCGATATGTGATCATTCGAAAGAAATAGAATAGATCTTTTTCAGAAGTTACCAATAGTATCGAGCAATTTTTTTGAAAACTATGAAACAAAAAAGAAAAAGAAGAGAAAAAAATCAATCAGCCTTTTCGATTCTCCGTCTGACCACATACCGAGCTATACTACTCGCAGCGATTCGTATGTAACTCGACTATACTACTTGTGTATATGTATGTGCGTGCATGCGTGTGTGTATATATATATAGTATAAATGTAAACTGTAGTATAACCGATCGCCTACATCGTTGTGGAAGATCGAAAGCCGGAGCTTTAAATCGATTCTATGGTTATGTTACGCTACGGAAATAGCAACTGTTATTTCTACGATCAACTTTATTTACACGTCTTCCTGTACTAGGAATATGTAGACAATTTAATACGTAAGTAACTATATCTATATAATGTCTGTGTGTGTGTCTGTATGTATATATACATATGTATGAATGTATATGTATGTATAAGTATATATATATATGTATGTATGTATATATATACATATACACATGGGTATATAACTAAAAAACATAATACATTCTCTAAATATCCATTGTAAGATTTTAATCATAATTTATCATAACGATTTATTCAAAAGCATTTAATTAAAATAGAGATAATCTGTGGGATGAATTTTTTCTTTTTTTCTGACTTATATGGTCGATTAAACGATAGTAGATAATAAAAAATTCTTAAGACCTTCTCCATAAAAGATGTTGTGTTTTAATCTAAATGCTTTAAAAATATCGAGGCGTGGGGAATAAAAAATAAAAAAAAAAAATAATCAATAAATAAATAAAACGTTCTTCACATTTCGATATAAAACTGTTGATATTAGTTTCTCCAATTTTCACGATTTCCTGTAATTTGAGGAAGATTGTAGTAACTCGATAGTAAGTCGTTCCTGTCTGCGATAAACAGTATACATCAGGATATTACTCTTCAACGTGGGTAACGCTTTACGTCCGTAATAAATATTCGAAAGGATTGCTTCCTCAGATATACATATATATATATACATATATATGTCCCATATATATATATATATGTGGGACGTAAAAGGCACACGATATGGATATTAAAAACCTACTATTTTTTCCGGCATTTTTCTACTCCTTTTTCTATCGACATAAACAAAACGAAGAAATTTAATCGATTTTTTTCTTCTCTCCGGTAAAATATAAAATGTCAAAAAAACGGGAAAAATAATATAACGCATAAACGAGATTTCCTATCGATAAGCAAATACTTGACGTATAACGTTCCTTTTTCATATTTTTCTTTGACTAAAGTTATTTAAAAAGAAATGTGTTTATTAGAATCTACGTTCTCTAATCCAACGAACGAATGAACGATATATATATATATGTATATATATATATATATATATATATATATATATATATATGATAAATATATATATGATATATATATATATATAATATATATATCATATAATATATGATATATATATCATATGATGTATATATGATATATGATATATATATAATATATATAAAATATATATATATATAGAGAAAGAGAGACGAAAAGTTTTGAAATGGTTTGAAAAGTTTAAGTGACTTCTCGATGTTATTACGCGCTAGAAAAGTACGCAGAGAGAAGTCGACGCTGCGTTCAGAAGCGACCGTATATTTTTTAGTTCTCAGCGGAAGTTACGAGACTGTGGAAAAGTCTTTTCTCGTTGTACGTAAACTCGAAAATGAATGTATCTTAAGTACTTTACGTGGAATCGCTTAGACATTCTACATTTTTCTTCATGAAATATTTATAACAATCGAACTCGACTCTTTTTCCTCTTCTTTACTAGACCAAAAATTTCAATTCAACGAGAAAGAGAAAGAGGGAGAGAGAGAGAGAGAGAGAGAGAGAGAGAGAGAGAGAGAGAGAGAGAGACATCGTTCGTCGAGTAATTATTTTTTTTCAGACTCGTATCACTCTATATCCTATATTTCTGGATAAGGTTTAACAAGAGTACCTCCCTTTCTTTGAAAAAACTTTATTCAAGGAAATTAAGTTTATTTAGTTGATGCGTTTTATTGTGAAGAAACTTCTTCTTCTTCTTCTTCTTCTTCTTTTTCTTTTTTTTTCTTTTTCTTCTGTACGATTAGAAAGAAAAAAAAAATTATAAAGAACAATAAAAATTATGTCTACAGAACGAAGAAACTTCGATGAAAGTACATACATAGAAAGTTTCTTTGTATACGGGGATATATTTCTTAGTATAGTTACTTTGGCAAACTCTCATCGTTGGATGTTTAATAAAGGCCGATATAGGCATAGAGTTTAAGGAAATTCATACGTACGCTTCCACTTTCTGCGGTTAAGTAATTAAACTCCTCTTTTGAGATAGAGTTATCTTGCTTGGCTTATGTATAATATCAGCTGAAAGCTTTGTAGTCATTTAACAATATGACTAGACCATTTTTCTCTTTAACATTGAATTTAAAATTATTTGTTTAATTGTAATAATCTATTATTGTAGATATTATAATTGTTACGATAATTTTGAAAGAGGAAAATTAAACTAAATCGATAAATAACGAAACCAATATAGCAACGCGAATAACGTTTGCCCCGTATCTATCGGGAAATGTAATTACCTGCATTTACTCCTCTCAAACCCACTCAATCACCCTTTTCTCACCGTTCTTCTTTAGCAGCCGGTCATTTTCGTCGACACAGGATTGACATTGAAAAACAAAACTAATTTCCAAACCTAATGGACTCGTCTCGCTTTGTTACGAACCGAATCGATTAGCAAATTTCCCTTTACTTTATCGAATCGCTCAATTTTTTTTCAATATTATTTAAACTCTTTTCTTTTTTATCATTCGTCGTTGACTTAATATCAACGATAATTATTTTTCGTTATAGAAATATACTTGAAATATCAGACATACATATAACTTTAATAAGGAAATACTTCTTAATTACAAAATGAAAATTTTAACTTTTATCAATAATATTTTCTACTTGTATATAAAGCGTCTACATTTCTACGATATTTCCACCATATGTATGTTTGAAACTCAAGAAAATTAATTTGCTTGGTTTGCATTTGGTTTTGGATCACTAGCGGTTGTGGTCAACAAATTTTATCAAATCGATATTGGTATATATGTGTACATATGTATATATAATATATGTAGCATAGGTGAAACGGCGAACGGAATGAAGATTAACCACACTTTTAATATGGAAATTATAGAGATGGTGAACATTTATATGATTTATTTGAAGAGAATTTCTATTTTTTATGTCGACTTTTAGTCAGATTTAATATTTCACAAAAACGTGCATTAATCAAAATATAGGAAATGAACTTTAGTAGAAAGATTTCCTGTCAGGGTAAAAGGAAATGGAAGTGGTTAAGTTAGAATTTTCTTTCTCTTCAGGAGGAACAAACTTCTCGTGGAATTTATTTTTTTGTCGTGATATAAGGAAGGCGGGTCAGGGGCGGGGATGGGACGGGAAGAAGGAGAGACGTGAAGCAAAATTCTTTTACATAAATTTCCGCGAGACTAATAAGAAAACGAATTAGTTTGACCGTAATTCTCTTAACTATTACTATAGTTCTTTTCTAAACGAACTTCCATCGTACGCTAAAACTTTACTGAGCAGAACGTTTTACGAGAAGAATTTGATGTGACAACGTTGACGTCCATCGTCACGTTTATCTATCTCTTCTTATATTTTCCCCCATATAATCCATATTACCTAATATCTAATTAAATTAAAAGTAATTGCATTGAGCATTTATGTCTTTGTTTTTCATTCGAGGAATAATGATAAAAAAATAAAAAATAAAAAATAAAAATAAAAAAGAAAGACAAATATTTGTTCCTTTAGAAAGAGAGAGAAAGAGAGAAAGAGAGAGAGAGAGAGAGAGAGAGAGAGAGAAAGAGAGAAAGAGAGAGAAAGAGAGAGAGAACTTTTAGAATTACTGTGGAATACAAAACGGTAAAGTAAGTATAACGTAAACAGAAAGAGCGATAGATTTTAAGAGACAACTGTTGTTATGATGTAAGCGTTCAGTAATATATGTACCGAAAACATTCACAATTTTCCGTGCTAGCATATTATTACTTTTCTCTCGTATACTATCTTCTATATAGGAGATAAAAAAAATGTATGAAAATCGAATGAGATAAATGTCGGACGTCGTGGTGTGTAGATTATAAACAAAACGTTTCTCAATCTTTTTATTGTACTATTATCAATAAATTCCTTTCATAATGATCAAATTGGCTAAAAACGTTTATAATAAATAATTTTTAAGAATCTAATAGACCGAAGTCGTTGTATATTATTTTAAAGATACGACTTGTTACTACGATATTATCGCGAATTTGCAAAAACATTTTACTAAAACTTAATAGAAACTTTTTTTACAAGTTTTTCGACTAAAATTTTAGACGGACTGTCACTCGTAGCTTGAGAAACGATATTATAAACTATATAAAGAACAAATTTTATTACGAAAAAGAAAGTTTAAATTGATATTTCGATATTACGAAAAGATATGGATTTATATTATAGATCAAATTTGACATAAATCTTATAATCTCTAATATGTTAGCAGATCTATAAATCTTTATATCTGTGTATACATACATGTAGATTTAAAGATTTATATATTTCTACATCTATATATCAATAGATTATATAATCTATGTCATTTGATTTGTAACCTATTCGATATACATTGACATAATATTACCTAAGCCGCAACGTATAAGCGATTTAAATGATTTTCTCGATAAATTATATATCTAAAACACAGATAGAACGTCCATCCTAAGCAACCTTGAAAAACCTTCATTCTTAGTATCACAAACGACATATAATCTGTTTGACAAGGAAAACGATGC